CCTTTACCTTTATATTTCGAGTGGGCTGGAGCGATAGCACGGCGGCAGGGCGTTTGCCCTGCACGCAGCCAACATGGCCGACCCGAGTTCGATTCCTCCGTCCCTCTCGGAGAGCCCGGCAAGCTGCCGAGAGTATCTCGCCGGCACGGCAGAGCCTGGCAAGCTCCCCGTGACGTATTCGATATGCCAGACACAGTAACAACAAAGTCTCCAATGGAGACGTTACTGGGCCCGCTCGAGCAAATCGATGAACAACAGGAGGGCCTTTACTTTACTTTATATTTCGAGTATTTTCTTTTGAGCCCATACCTGGCAGGTGCTTAGGACTTATTCCTGGATAGATGTTCAGGGATCACTCTGGTGGGGCTCAGGGACCTTATGGGGTGCTGGGGGATTGATCCCGGATCAGCTGTATGAAAGGCAAGTGCCTTAACTGCTGTACTATTGCTCTGGCCCAATACCAGTTAATTATGTCATTGGCTATCGGTGATGAAATCTGCCAACCTCTTTCCTCTCCCTGGGTGTTACATGATAGGAAAGAAAGTTCCCTTCCCTTAATCTTATGGTTGATACTTCTTGCCACCTGCACTCCTCACTTTAGTGACTTTCTGAAACTCTTCTCATTAACTCAAACTTAGGAATGGTTGAAAGGCACTTGCTATTACTAAATTTATTTTATTTTATTTTTTATTTTTTGCTTTTTAGGTCACACCTGGTGATGTTCAGGGTTTATTCCTGACTCTGCACTCAGGAGTCACTCCTGGCGGTGCTCAGAGTACCATATGGGATGCTGGGAATCGAACCAGGGTCGGCCACGTGCAAGGCAAACACCCTCCCTGCTGGACTATCACTCTAGCCCCAAGTTTAGTAATAGCATTTTTACCCCATTTGAAAAAATGGGCACAAAACCCAAATATTGTAAACAGAAGATGCTCATTTTGCCATTTATGTCTATGGAACAGTTTCAGGCAATGAAAGAAGGCCACTATATTTATGTTTTCTATTCTTTCACAGTAAGAATACATTCTTTTGTGGTAGTCATGATGAAAAATATTAATTCATGCAATTTCCTTTAGAACAGTGCTTGTCATTTGGCAAGTGCCCAGTAAATGCTGACTATTATTGTTAATGTTGGCTATTTGTTTTTTCTATCTGATCTGTATTTTTTTATTAAAATTTTTTTTAATAAGGGGCCGGAGTGATAGCACAGTGGGTAGGGCGTTTGCCTTGCACGCAGCCGACCTGGGTTCAATCCCCGGCATCCCATATGGTCCCCCAAGCACTGCCAGGAGTAATTCCTGAGTGCAGAGCCAGGAATAACCTCTGAGCATCGCTCATCTCCCTAAAACAGTGAAAAAAAAAAGCAAAAAAAAATTTAATAGTGAGACATCATGAGGTACAGTTGCAGGCTTACACATTTTTGTGCTTGGGTTTCAATTATACAATGATCAAATACCCATCCCTCCACCAGTGCCCATTTCCCACCACCACAGATCCCAATATCCCTCCCACCCCCCCACCCCCCAGAGTCCTTTTTGTCTTCAGGCTAATGTGAACAGATGAAAAATGAATTACCCTGGTAGAAAAGGGCAGACTTTTGAAGTGTGACAAGGCAGAGAAGGGTTTTCCGGAGACAGTAGTTGAGTAACTTTTGTGAAGCTCCAGTGCAGTCCATGTTCATAATCTTTAGGCAGTAAGGTGTTGCTGCCTCATCAGTGGCCGCCTTGGTGATGCTTTGGATGGGAAGGCCATTGCTCTGCTTCAGAATTTAGAGGCTTTGTCCTCTCCTGTTGGGGAGGATTTTCGGCTGTGAATGACACGCGGTCTGTCATTGAACAAGGTTACTCTGACAGCATTAAGAAGGATGGTTGGTTCCAGAGGCAGTAAATCAGGAAGCAAGAAGTTATTGTGACCAAGATAAATGACAATGTCCGGCAGAAAGACCATGGCAGTGGAGAGAGTAGAAAAAATGAATTTGAGAGGCACCAGGGAAGTAAAAATTAAATGTGGTGTTGGTTATAAAGTGAAGTGGAGTGAAAACAGGGAAACTAGGATTACTTGCAGGTGACTTGGTGGTAATTTATACCTTCACTGGGATAGAATGTTTTAGGGAGATGAGTTGAGAGACCGAAGAAAACTAGAGGAACTGCAGATACATTGAAGTTTATGTTCCTGTGACTCTTTTCGTAGGTTGATTAGACTGTTGGAAATTCATATCCTAAGCTCAGAAAATTACTTTATTTTATTTTATTTTGGCTTTTTGGGTCACAGTCGGTGATGCTCAGGGGTTACTCCTGGATCTGCACTCAGGAATGAATCCTGGCGGTCCTCAGGGGACCATATGGAATACTGGGGATCGAACCCAGGTGGGCTGCATGCAAGGCAGACGCCCTCTTCTCTGTGCTATTGCTCCGCCCCCCTCAGAAAATTATTTTAAAAGTGGTCAATGACTGAGAATATGTTTCGGTGATGAGAGGTTTATTTTCTTTAATTTCCAGAAGGATTTAAATTTCACATTCAATTTTTCAGGAGAGAATTTTCCAGGTTAAGTATTTCTTCTTGGGTGGAGGACATTTTGTATATTTTAGGTGTTGGTCTATTTTAAGTGACTCAGTTAATAGAACTTGCAGTATTTCGTTATTATTCTTTTGATGGTTTGGGAGCTGCCAAGATGTCCACTCTTTTGTTCCTGGCATTGCTACATTTCTTTTCTTTTTTTGACAATGTAGTGAGAGGTTTATTAATATATTGATGTTTTCAAAGAACTGCCTTTTGGCTTCATTGCTCTTTAAATTTTTCCTACCCAATTTTATTGATTTATGCTGTCTTTTACCATTAGTTCCATCCTTCTGCTCACTTTATGTTTAGTTTGTCGTTATTTTCCTAGATTTTTTTCAAAGACAGAAGATTATTGACTAATAGTTACTGCTCTAGATATATACACATTCATAACTTTCATCTCCTTACACAGTTTAAATGTGCATGCCACTAAAATTTTGGTTTTTAAAAAAATTTGGTTAAAATAATTCTAGTTTGGGCATTTCTCTTTATTGAGGTGAAGATGATTTGGAAAAGTAAATAGGACTTTGGAGTTGCAGTGTGGCCATGCCTCACTTGTCACCAGAGTGCCAATATCCTTGCCCATTATCTGTAAAATGCCCCTCCCTGCTCTGGTTGGTAATTTCAGTTCTAAAAATATCTTTTATTGGTATTATTAAGCCACTTGGATTTTTTACATGCTTAAATTTAGTTCTTCCATTTTATTGCTTATTTTATGCTTTTTCTTATTTAAATTTCTCTTATGCCATATTTTGGATAATTTTACTATTTCTTTGTGATTGTTTCAGTATTTCTGCAAGGATTTGAGATCACTTTTAAATAGTAGAAATTCAGTAAAAAATCTTTAAGTGTAACCATTTAACTTTCCTTCTTGTTTTTGGTGCTGTGGGCAGTATTAACTTTTGTAATTTGCCAAGTGATTTAAAAATGAAATCTACTTATGGTTCAGAATTCTTGAAAATTGGAAATAATTAAATGCTTTTCATAGTAATTTAGATAGGTTACAATCCAGGTAAATGTTTAGAGATAATTTTGTCTCTGTATATGCCTATACTATTATTTGTATTTTGAGCCTAGGATGGTAAACTCATTCTGCTGTTACTACCGCCACCACCGCTGCTACTACTAAATTTGTTCTAGGCACTTGGTAAATGTCAGAGTTATAGTAGTTAATTTGCTCAGCAATTTTGGGTTGTTAAAATTTTCATTTTTTTAATATAGCTCCATGACTCAGCTGACTTAATTTGTCCAGGACCACAGATCTGATTAGTGGTGGAATCTAGACTCAGACCTCAGATATATTTGACTGCAAAATCTGTATGTTTTCCAGTTGGTCTAGCCACTCATTTTACTGACATTTATTGAGTGCTGACTGTGTGCCAGAGACCATATATCTTTTAAATTAAAAGTCAGCATGGTCCCTACCCTTACGTGTCCTATGGGCCATTAAATATAAAAATAAATAAAAATAAATGGGGTGAGTGGAGGAGGACAAGATAGGATGAGATTCAAAACCAGAGAGAATTTAGTCTAGTGAGGGGGTGTCATCCCTTGTCGAAGTGTCATTTGAAGTAAGGCTCTAAGAAGGATGGGAGTTAGCAAAGAGTAGGAGGAGAAACGGTGTCGGCAGAGAGACAGATGTGGAGTTAGGGAGGAATTTAAAGGTTCAGTTTGCTGAACCAGGTCAGAGTGGCTGAAATGCAAAAGCAGATTTGAGTGGGAGATGAGCCTGGCCAGGCAGGCAGAGGCCAGTTTAGTTGGGCCATGCTAGATTGGCTTATTGGTGGTTGCCTTATTTTTACTTGCAGTAAAGACCATAAAATATCTGAACTTTTTTTTAAAATTTAATTTTGGGCCACACCCTGCAATGCTCAGGGCTGATTTCTGGCTCTGTAGGGATCCCTCTGATAGGGCTCAAGGGGCTGGATGGGGTGCTGGGGATTGAACCTGGGTGGGCCGCATGCAAGGCAAGTGCCCCACCTGATGTACTATCACTTCAGCCCTAAGGATGTGGACTTTTTATGCGGTAAAACCTTGACTTTTTATGCGGTAAAATCTACTGCCTTGAATTCATTGACCTGCCTTTCCGCTGACTTTAGCCACAAGTAGTTCTAAGAATCTAGGATCACCTGTTTTTGTCAGTGTGCTCTAGGACATTGGGTGTCTCAGGTTATTCTGGTCAAAAGGAATCAATTTTTTGAAAAATGACTAGGTTTCATTGAGTTAAATTAATATAAGAACAATAATTTAGAATGTCAGAGATAGAACCAGGCAAACTCCGTTCTCTGAGCCCAGTCACGCCATGGGTCGGACATTCTGTGCCACATTTCAGCCCGTTTTAGTGAGCTCTTGAAACACACCCTCTCAGCCTTTCCTAAGATGAAGCACCTCCTTCTGTCTCTGAACATGTTTATGTTAAAACACACATTTCTATTTTTCAGTCTGAGGGAAAAGGCCACACCAGTGCTGGAGACGCCATATATGAGGTGGTGAGTCTCCAGCGAGAGTCTGAAAAGGAGGAACCGGTCACTCCTACGAGTGCAGGGGGTCCATTGTCACCCCAGGAGGATGAAGTGGAGGAGGGTAAGGAAAAAAATCTAATTCATGTTCCTCTTTTTGTGTAGTTGCTTAACTTGCTGTTCACCAAGTGTGTGTGTGTGTGTGTGTGTGTGTGTGTGTGTGTGTGTGTGTGTGTATGCACATTTGTGCCTGGCTGGTGGGGAAACTCTGGTTTTTCCTAGTCTGCCAATTCTTCAGCTGCCTTTTGCTTGATCATTTGCAGAACATCATTTGGTTTGCTTGGTTCCTTGGTTCCATAGTATTCTGTGCTACTTATGTAGACATTTAAATCGGATAGCTGCACTGAGTTTTTTTTTTTTTTACTTAATTTTAGGTATTGAAATGAAAACTTTTAAGTTCTTTCAAGATAATGTTTTTTGGGGGTGAGGGGCATTTCAAAGGTACTTGAGGCTTACTCCTGGCTCTTTGCTCAGGGATCACTCCTGATGGGGCTCTAGGTATGCGGTGCTAGAGATTGAACCCGTGTCAGCTATGTGCAAGGCAAGTGCCTTGCCTCCTGCTGTCTCTCTCTGCCCCCTTAAATGTACATAGTTCATTAAATTTTGGCAAATGGATGCATCTTTTTTTTTCTTTTTGGGTCACACCCAGTGATGCTCAGGGGTTACTCCTGGCTCTGCACTCAGGAATTACTCCTGGCGGTGCTGGGGGACCCTATGGGATGCTGGGGATCAAATTCAGGTCGGCCGCATGCAAGGTAAACACCCTCCCCACTGTATTATCACTCCAGTCCCTGAATGCATCTTTTTAAATCATTATAAAGCTTCCTGAATACCCCTTTTACAGTTCATTCTTTTCTCTCACCTGTAGTCCTTGGTAATTACTGATCTACATTTTTTTTTCAATTTTATTTTATTTTTTGCTTTTTGGGTCACATCTGGCGATGCATAGGGTTTACTCCTGGCTCATGCACTCAGGAATTACTCCTGGTGGTGCTCGGGGGTCCCTATGGGATTCTGGGAATCAAACTCGGGTTGGCCGTGTGCAAGGCAAATGCCCTCCCCGCTGTGCTATCACTCTAGACCCTGATCTACAGTTTTGTAACTATAATTTTTTTCTACAGTTTCACATAAAATGAATTACATGCTACATAATGTTTCATAATGGCATTATTCACAAATATAATACTATTGAGATTTATATGGTGTATATGTAATTGGTTCCTTTTAAATGCTGAGTAGTAACCTATTATAAAGATATACTACAATTTTATCTGTCTAGTAACTTGTTAATGAATCTTGAGTTTTTATCTGAATGCTTGAATATAAATCTTTAATTTTATTTGAATAAATACCCAGGAGTAAAATGACTGGATCTTATGTTTATGTTATGTGTATGTTTAATTTTATAAGAGCCTCCAAGTTGCTTTTCAAAGTAGTTTTACCATTTTCCATTTTTATCGATCATGTATAAGTTAGTTGTTCTCTGTTTTTTTTTCCTTTTTTCTTTTTGGGTCACACCTGTCAGTGCGCAGGGGTTACTCCTGGCTCTCTGCTCAGAAACTAATCCTGGTGGTGCTCAGGGGATCCTCTGGCATGCTGGGGATTGAACCCAGGTTGGCTGTGTTCAAGGCAAATGCCCTACCTGCTGCACTATTGCTCCAGTCCCATTCCATATTCTTCTAATGCCTTTGTGGGGGCCGCACCCAGTGGTGCTCAGGGTCTACTCCTAGCTCTGTGCTCAGGTATCACTTCTGGTGGTCTCGGTATCATATGGGATGCCTGGGATCAAACCCAGTTGACTGTGTGCAGGGCAAACGCCCTATCCACTGTGCTATTGCTCTGGCCCAGTAGCTTTTAGCAATGCTGATTTTAAAAATGACAGGCTTTAGAGCTGAACTGAAAGAATACAAGGGGTAAGCCTTGCATGCAGTGAACCCTAGTTAGATCCCTGAGCATCACCAGGATTGATTCCCAAGCACAGAGCCAGGAGTAAGCCCTGAGTGCCAAATAAATTCCTTTCCCAGATAACAAATCTTAGGTTTAATAGTTAATATAATCTGGTTAATTCGCACTTCCTTAATGACTAATGATGTTGTGCATCTTTTTATGATAGTCTTTTTGCATATCTTTTTGGACAAGTCTATTCACGTTTTAAAGTCTATTTTAAAATTGAATTATGTGGGAGCTGGAGAGATAGTACATTGGGGAAGGCACTTTCCCTGAAAGTGGGTGAACCTACTTTGATTCCTGGCCTTGCATATGGTTTCCTTTTTGTTTTTTTTCTTTCTGGGTCACACCCGGTGATGCTCAAGGTTTATTCATGGCTCATGCACTCAGGAATTACTCCTGGATGTGCTTGGGGGACCATATGGGATGCTGGGAATTGAACCCGGGTCGGCCCCATGCAAGGCAAATGCCCTACCTGATGTGCTATCTCTCCAGGTCCGCATATGGTTTCCTGAACACAGAGCCAGGAGAAAGCCCTGAGCACTGCTGGGTGTAATCACCATACCAAAACAAAATTGGTATATTTGTCTTCTTACTGGTTTATAAGATTTTCCTATATACAGATAAAAGTATTCAGTGTCTTGAAATAGCTTCACCTTCTGCCATTGTCTTTCATTTTCTTCTTCTTTTTTTTTGGGGGGGGGTCACACCCAGCGATGCACAGAGCTTACTCCTGGCTCTGCACTCAGGAATTACCCCTGGTGATACTCGGGGGACTATATGGGATGCCAGCAATTGAACCTGGGTCAGTTGCGTACAAGGCAAACCCCCTACACACTGTGCTATCGTTCTAGCCCGCTGTTTAAAATTTTATGTGTGGTTGGAAGTAGGTGTCAGTGGTTTTCTTCTGGCTTTAATAGAAAAAAACAAACTCTCATGAGCTCTGTGGGCCAGGATTTAGGGAGTGACTCGTCTTGGTAATTCTGATTAGCACTTTCATATTATGAGTCAGGTACTAGCTTGGGATGTAATCAACTGGAGACTTCATTGGAGATGACTGAAAATTTGGGGATGTCTCTGGGGGACTTATTCATACGGTTGTTAAAATAATAATGCTGGCAAGAAACCTTGCTTCTAGACCTTTCTAGAGTGGCTGCTGTGTTATCGTTATGGTATAATTGCTAGCTTTTCCCAGAGGGCAATCTCAAAGACTGAGGTGGAAGCTGCAGTGCTTTTTATGACCTAGCTTTGGAGGCATACAGCACTACTTCCATAGAGCCCATTGATTATAGTTTAGCCCTTGGTCCCCTTGTGAGAGACCATTATATTCTGTACTCGTCTTCTGAGGAAACTGTTGAAATCACGTCCAACCCAAGTAATGTTCTAATTGAGGCAAAAGTAATAGAATATTTGGATATAATATCAGAATGCTAGAGAATATAGGAGTTACCTTAGAAGCTCATACACTACTTTAAAAACAGATTATAAAAAGATCTGTTAGGATCTTAGTGAGCGTATATTTAAGAGTAGCCTTTTAAACATACAAGCACTCCTTTGGTTTATTTTCTTTTTATCATGTTTGGCATATTTCTCAGTGGCATTCAAGGTTTAGAAAGGTATATATATATATACATATATATATATATAAAATTTTTTTTGGGTCACACCCGGTGATACACAGGGGTTACTCCTGACTTTGCATTCAGGAATTACTCCTGGTGGTGCTCAGGGGACCCTATGGGATGCTGGGAATCGAACCCGGGTCGGCCGCATGCAAGGTCTGTGCCATCACTCCAGCCCCTAGAAAGGTATTTTTTTAAAAATCATTTTATTTTTATAAAGTAGTTCCCAATGTTTGATTACATTTAATATTCAAACACCAGTCCCACCACCATTAAACCTTCCCACCACCACAGTTTGGATGTTTCCAACTCCTGTCCCAAAGCAGAACCAAAATAATTTATTTTGTATTGTTTGCTAGGAATAAACTGCTGAAATACTCCAAAAAATTTCCTTAGAGAAAAGTTGGAAAGGTATTTTATGATCCAGCGATAATTACTTTAGGATTGAAGAGATTTAAAAGTTGTGCTATTAAACTATAGAAAGCAGCAATACTAGGAAACTGGTAAATGGAAAAGCCAAATGTCTAGTTTTGGCTTGTTGTAAATCAGCACTGTAGCACTGTAGCACTGTCCTCCTGTTGTTCATCGATTTGCTCGAGCGGGCACCAGTAACATCTCCATTGTGAGACTTGTTGTTACTGTTTTTGGCATATCGAATATGCCGGGGAGCTTGCCCGGTTTTGCCGTGCGGGCAAGATACTCTCAGTAGCTTGCCAGGATTGAGAGGGGCGGAGGAATCGAACCCAGGTGGGCTGAGTGCAAGGCAAATGCTCTACCCACTATGCTATGGCTCTGCCCCTAAGTCAGCACGATACCTACAAATACTGCCAGAAGTTCTTATAAGTTAGCCTGGTAAGGCCATCACTTTTAAACCTGAGCAAAGAGTTAAGTTGGGCTCAAGTTTTACTTTACATTTAAGCCATTTATGCCAGAGTTGTTTTGATGTAGTTAGAGCAAAGCTAGATACAGCTATTTGAGAGTCATCAGCATTAAGTAGTAAAAATGACTGACATTTCCTTGCGGGGAAATGTGAGAGATGCTTTAAGCTTTAAAAGAAGGGAGGGCAGCACGGGATTGACATGGAACAGGAGACTCACTGAGTAGGATAGGAGCAAAATATCGCATGAGGTTTAGTAAATCTAGGGCATCACTGAATTTCTAGGAGGATGATTTTAATACCGTTTGGAAGGATGCCTTTGTGGTGGATTGATGGTTGAGACTGAGAGGAAGGAAGAATAGAATTCTAACCCTTCAAGAAATTTGAGGGTCCAGAGTTATCAGATGGGGGTTAAGACTCTTTCATTGCATGCGACTCACCCTGATTTAATCCTTTGTACTGCCTGGTCCCCTGAGCACTTCAGGTATTCCTCCCCTGTCAAGTAGCGGTGTGATGGGTGAGGAAGAAATTGAACTGGAAATTTAGATTTAATCTGACTGAGATGTCTATTTTTTTTTTCTTTTTGGGTTACACCTGGCGATGCACAGGGGTTACTCC